GTTAGATTAACAGCTTTTGATATATTTAAATCCAGTGCGTTTTGGTAACACTACGTTCCAACAATGACTTTTATGTCATGTTGCTTAGCAACAAAAGTATCTCTAAATATAATAGAACTGTCTGTAGTATGTCCATGTAACTACTTCGCCCCCTGTGGATGGATCTTCATAACAATTTGGTATGAAGGTTCATTAAATAAATGCGGGGGTACATACAAATTTTCATTTTTGTGGGCGTTTTCGCGTTTTTTACCACTATTTCGTCCCCTGTTATGGATCTACACCAAATTTGGCATGGAGGTTTGTTGGGTCCATGCGGAGATACATGTAAAGTTGCATTTTCAAATTTTGTGTTTTGTAGGTTTTGTGTATGTTTTTGTTTTTTATAATTACCTATAAGGGAAGCAACTTTTCATTTCCTGAGATAACCTTTCATTAATCATGAATTTACATAACTTCCATCCAGGGGACGGGTACTACAGCTAGTAACCTAATATTGTTGTTAGTCTATGTACTAAAATTATAAAATGTATAGACAACAAAACTGGAAAAATATTTGTTGATTTTTTTAAACTTGGAGTCTCCGTTGATTAAAGAGGTTTGTTTTATATTAAAAACGTTAGGGATAAAACAGAAAATAGTTTAATTCAGAAATGATTTAAGTTTAAAATTGAATCGATATTTTTACTTTCATGATAAATTTTATGCACTTGGCTCTAGGCTAGTTGATCCCATACTACGTCTATATTTTAGGCTTGTTACACCAACATTCACTACACTTTTAAAGTTTCATGGCCCCCTTACACCCCGTAATGGGCAGACAGAAATCGAACTATTCTACCTGGATAAATGCATTTTGGCTTTTATGACTCCTCCTATTTCGAGAAGTTAAGCGTGACGTGACACACACTGGCTTTTGTATAGGTTAGATTGCGAACCATGGTATCTGTTTGAGAGTTCGTCTGTCTCCTGTCAATGGCGGCCGGCCGCTTCCGATGCTCCGCTTGAAAAGCTGCGCACGCGCAAAGCTCAACATTGAATTTTGAAATGACGGGAGAACAGGCGTGAATAATGTTGATACCAAATTTTATTTCGCAAGCAGGATATTCTACACTATATTGTTAGAAATTAATCACACTATCATTCACATTTTAAAATGTGACGTAACGTAAATAATAAAGATGTAATTTACTGTATGTTATTGTTGAGTGGCTCTTAACATGACTGAAATACTCAACAATTACTTTTCGCGGTATAAGTAACTCAGAGCTTTGGCTCTGAAAGAAACCAAGAGTGCAACATAATAAACTTCTTTAAAGTCCATGAAATAATTTAAACTGATAAATCAATTTAAACTTTTCCCGTCACTGGGGACGGGTACTTTAGCTTGTGCTTACATATAATTTACTGTAGCAGTATATCATAACTGATAATATACGTGGGTGAAGGAACGTCTTGTACTATGTACAGACCACGTGTTTTGATTAATACTTCTGAAATAATATAATAATTTTAGATGGGTACTGTTAGAATATACTGTTATGTTTCCCACTACCATTCACCGTCTATAGTTGGTTGTAGGCATGATAATTACCTCTGAAGACATTAAAATAGAAATATGATATCATCAACCACCATCAATTTCTATCACCCAACCTCCAACATTGTTTTAGTACTGATAACACTTGATATTGTAATTTTTAGATATGATGTTATAAACTATAAACCCATCCCTACAGTTCTGGTACCCCTACTAAATCTAGGTAGTATAAACAAAAGAAAAGTCAATCCGAAAAATAGACAAATAAATTTATACAAGAAACTAAAAAGACTCACAAAAGTATTTTGGAAAACAGTACCAATAAGAGCTAAGCCAAATACTGAACCCATGTAAACCAACTGAGTTAATAATTAAGCTGTTATTAATACAGTTTTCCAATCAATGGCTTCCACTTATAGACTTCCCATTGTTGTTCAACACTTCCTATTAAACCCTACTGTTCTGTTTATCCTTTGTTATAATTTGTTTGCTTTGTACATCTATATATATACACCTGGAAAAAAGTTAAGCACCCCCGTGT